GTGGTGTCACTCCGCTCCAGCCTTTAATTTCAAGCAACGTGGAACACAATGTTAGCAATTGACCAATCACAGCCCTTTGTAAATGCACTGCTCGATGAACACCTTTCCATGCCACGTCGGCGATCAGGGTTATGTGACTTTAACGATGTGTTCAGCGTGAGCCGAAGGGGCGACTCAGGACCTGTTCAGATATCACTTACCACTGATGTTAGCCATGGCTGGAATATAAACTCAGCATGCTGGGTTCAACATGGAATGCAGGAGTGCAATATATGGGCTCAACTACATTTCTGTGAGCTGCGGTGCGCTACATTCCCTGCCATTCAATTTGTATGCGATTCATTTGGAGGGTGCGACCAGCGGTGAAATCGTTCAGATCATACTGAATACAGTATCTCCCTCTCCGAGTACGATCAGCGGGTGGGGTTCAGTTGTGGCGTGGGGTTGAGTGTCACCTCCGCCGTTCGGGGAGGGCAATGATGAAGCCACTTGTCAACATCGTGAGCGAAAGACGTCGCCCATGAGCACGCTGACGCCACTCGGCTGCTCTCCGATACAGTCACACGATGCTGGGCAGCGGCGTCCGTCGTCGGCATGGGGCCCTGGCACTACAAGTGAAATTTGTGGGGGGAGGGTTGCCTCGCCAATTACCTTCGACGTAACGCGTCGTCTGTGCTTCTCCAGGAAGCGTGGTTGCCTCTGGTGCAGTTGCACTGCCTGTACACTCGATAGCTACGCCACTGGGTTCTATCTTACTCCATTGGTATTCTCGCAGACGATTCGTTCTGTGATAGTCTTTGGACGTATACGAAAGTCTATGGGTTTGCGTTAGTCTGTGGGTCCTATGCCAGTCGATGGGTCTCTTATGCGAGTCAACAGGTCGCTATGTAAGTGTATGGATCTCAGTGGTGTAGCGTGGTTGGCATGGGCCCTGGTGCAAGGAATGAAAATAGGGCCCTCCCCTGTCCAATGTTCTCCCTCGTTGTAGCCTGGTACCTGGATCCATCCGGGCAGTGCATCCTGGGGCAATTGCAGCGCCTGCACACTCGATGGTTATGCCACTGCTGCCGTATCCGTCAGCCAGGTCCTGCCGTCAAATTAAAAATTTTGCTTATTTTGGGGGCGGGAGCACTGGACAGGGATAGTTGCACGCACGCCACATCGCCTCCGCCACGAGTGTTTTATCTGCTTAATTTCCCCGCACCGGATAGGCGAGAAATTTCTCCATTAAGGCAGCGCCTTTATTTATTTACGCATTCACTCCGCTCGCACGTTTATTTATCCATTTATTTACTGCCGACTCGGGCGGCTAATCTTAACGGTGCGCGTCTCCGCGACGCTGCCGAAACGACAGGCCGCTCTTTAGCGATCCTGCGGGGACTGCTCGATTCGTGAGAATTACGATCTCGTTTTTTCAGTCGCGCGAGGAGTTTCGTGGGGCTGGTTTGGGGGGGGGGGGAGTATAACGCGCCGCTGCCTTGTGCCGCTGTGTATTTTTTAACGAGCCCTCATCATCTTCTTGGTTCTTTCGGTAAAGTCATCCATTCTACGTGACTTTACCGAAAGAACCAAGAAGATGAATCCCTGCAGTCACGAAAGCTTTAAATCGAAATATGAGCCCTCATCATGCTCAGAGGGCAGGCGGGCGCAGAGGCTCTCGTCGAAGAGGGCGCGCGTAAAACTTTGCCTCCGCTTACGCATTTCGCGTGTGCATTGGACGTACGTCGAACTTCTTTCGCACCGTACGTAGTCATCCGCGATAATCGGAGGCGCAGTTGAACGGACTACAACCTGAACACCAAAAAGCAGTTCGAAAGAAATGAGTTTTGAATCTGGATGATTTAAAAGTGCATATCTCCCGGTGGCATCCCAATATCGGACGCGAAGAGCGTTCCAGACGGCCGCAGAAGCACATCTGAAAGCACGCGATGCAGTGACCGTCTTTATTCGATGGATAGCCAAAGGCCGCTGCGAGGATGACCGGAGTTTTCGCGATGGTTTATGTGGCTTGACGAGATCGGCAAGGAATTGTGGTTCATTTGTCGCAAGCACTTTGTGTGTAATGAGTGTGACCTTATCATCTATTAGTTCGACAACCGGAAGCCCATGCACGACACGTGCCAAAGCATTTTGTTTACACTGCAGCTTGGTAAAAAAAAATCCCAGACGTCCCGTAGAGTAGTGAGTTGCAATAATCGAGCCTTGTCATAACTATGCTACATGCCACCGCTGTGCTGTAGTAAGCCACTGTAAATATGCGTGTCTTGTCATTTCAAAAGAAAATTCATGCATGCATTGATGTTAATGGCAGTCAGTTTGAACATTTCTTAAAATAAAATAAATAATCCCATTTGATTTGTTAAAAGAAATATAATAACCCGATGTGTCCTGACTTTTGGGCCACCCAGTATAATATATATTACATTTATATTATTGTGCTTTCATTTTGATTAACTTATTGATACGCAGTATTTGTTTCATGGGGTAGAGTGGTGGAAAACCCAGTGGTTCAAATCACCCACGCGATCAACATGGTGTGAGGGAGACTTTCACCTAGCAATGGAGTGTGATTGTTCAGCGTCCAGAGGAGCTTTACATTTTGACGTTGTAACTATTGTATCATTATCGGTTATGCTACAACAACATAAAACGGCTTTTTAATTCTTAAAAGCACAATAAAACTTGAACTCGCACTGGTTAGGCGGAAACATTCTCAGCACAAAGTCACCGACGGTCCGTCCAGGATAGAGAGTTGAGAAACAGTGAAAATTCAGACGAGGCAAAAATCTACACGATTACACGTTTGCACTCAACATAATTCATCATTTGTTAATACGTCTTTAATGGCCCCTTAGCACTTAGCATGTTGTGCAGAATAATTTCAGGATTAGCATAAAGTGAGTCAAATTTGCTGCAGCCAATTCTGTTGATTCAGGGGTCGTGAGTGTGTAATTTCTTGAACATAAGCAATGATTTTTTTTTACATCTAAATAATATTATTTTAAATATATTTAACTGCGTGGTCTTCTCCCACAGTTCTATTCCAGTCGTGCTATCGATGGCATGCCGTTATGTGTCAATTCGTAAATCCTGCAGAGCAGTGCACCACCTCTACGAGTGAATGGCCCATGGAAGGAGATGTCACAGAACTAATTCGGAGATCCCGTAAACTGACCTCTTAGAGATATTAAGTGCATGGAAATAAAAAAAATAGTTACATATATTATATATTGAAAAAGAAAGTTTTGCAAAAATGCAAACCAAACTTAATTAATATGATGGCTTTTGTGCACTAATTGTTGACGAGGCTATCCTCATCAGCTCACAACAGGGGTGGCTGAAACCCAGATTCAAACCCAGGCTCTCAGTCACGCTGGCACAAAACTCTGACCTCTGAGCCACCTGTCGACATCTGCAAAACAACACCAATTAAAATAAAAGTTAATGCCTGCACAATATGCTGCGTGTCAGCTTCACGTTAAGATCATTAACAGTGGCGGAAGAGACGTGAACACATACTGAGTTTCTCAGCGAGCCATGTGGTGTTACAACAAAACCCTTTACAAAGCTTTCCATACCTCCCACTCCAGAGGTCACACATCAAACCTTCAATTAACACTTCCAATCTGCACAAAAGCATAATTTAAAAAAAAATCTACCTTCGCTGCAGGCAATTAGACCACGTTCTGGCCCTGACTGGAGACTACAATTTGTAAAAGGAGGACGAGGCTATCTGTGCTGAAACAGCCACGGCAGAGACAGAACTTCTGCCATGACCGTCGCTGGCTCATGCGCCGCTTGCTCCGCCGAGCGCCGTGCGCGCGAATGGAAACTCGCACGCTTCGCAAGGCGTCGAGACGCTTCGTAGGGGGTCACTGCTCAGTCGTGTTCAGACGAGAAGAGGAGAGTCTTGCGTGTGAACTCGTGAATGGGAAGGGGCTCAGCAGTGCAGACGGCGAGAGAAAGGGGACTGACTATGTTGAACTTGGAGAACTTCGTATGCACACCGTACGTAGCCATCCGCGCTAATCAGAGGTGCAAAAGGCAGGAACGGCGCGTGAGCGGGTGACTGGCCAACACCACGCCCGGCCACCTTTGTCCCCTCGTGGCGATGTTTACACGTCGCACGAGGTACTCATTCGAGGCTGAGTCGACCTTGTTGAGGCCCAGGACGGGTTCAGATAGTCGTCCCCACCCACACCATCACCCACACCAACAGCCACTCGCCTTCACTACCCACGCGCGCTACTGAGCGAAGGTTGACGAGCTCTTTGGCAGAAGTGGAGAGCACGCATATGGGGCGAGAGTGAGATGAGGACTGGCAGGCGGGGACCCAGTTCAATGAATGATCTCAAAGACAGCGAGGGCAATCTTCCGCGACTTGACGCCTCTGTACGATGGAAACATGCCAACTGTTTTTGTACAGAGCCGCGAGATGCGGTCACATATAACTCCCCATTGCATCGCATTGCAATGCATACTCGCATAGAGCCACAGACTCACATTGTGTAGAAGTGCAATAACAACAACCGCCGTTCACCACTAAGTGGCAGTGACCGTGACCATGACGCCTGTGCCAGGCTCAGTGCACTTTGAGGCAACGTGAAGTGTCGAAGGCTCGCTGGCAGGAGATCACGGGACAGAATCAGGTGCCCTTGGGTTGGCTGGCTGAGATGGTGGGCAGATGCACCAACTGTGCTCCCGACTGTGCCAACTCTCTGCGTTTTATCCGCCCAGTACTCTGCCCGTAGTTGTGAGCGTCGCTCCTCTGCCCTCAGTTGCTGCTGGAGGGCGATTTGTTTCCAACTCCCCAGCAGCATCCCTCACGAACTTCCTCCAGAGGCTGATCTTAACACCGCTGGTACCGGTCATTGTAAATTCCAATCAACTCCACATCTTACCGGATACCACATCAGTCCATCTCTTCCCTAGCCCATGCAATAGAATCATCAGTGCAATGAACTCACATTGACACCCATGGTTTTTTTTGTTTGCTGCAGGCCAGGAGCGGGTGGGACGGGACTCCCAGTACGAGCAGGAGGGCAAGGTGCAGTTCGTGATCGACGCGGTCTACGCCATGGCGCACGCGTTGCACAACCTCTACCAGAAGCGGTGCCCGCGCCTCTCGGGTCTCTGCGTCGACATGGAACCCGTGCCCACCAAGGACCTGCTGGAGGAGATCCGCAGCGTCAGCTTCAACGGTCAGAGCCCTGCTCGCGTGCCGTGAGCCGTGCTGGAGCTCGCCTCCCGTAATGACCGTAATCGCGGCTATTTGCCCATAAAAGCCTCTCGCGCAGTTGTTTCCTGTAATGGTCTTGCATTACGGTGTTTTGGGCCAGTTCCTCGAAAGGTGTGTTGAGTTAACTGGGGTGAGCGGTAGAGGGGCAGCTATTTTTAACGCGTAGGCTTTCACGGCCAATAGTATTCATAATAAAGGTTTTTATGTTAGATCGCGAAACTCTAAATGTGCCGTAACCCTCCACCACCCGACACAGCCGTGCAATCACTTGTTCAAGCGACTGGTGGCAGAAGGATCTTCCCCATTACAGGGGGCTCTAGGGAGCACCTCTATGGAGTATCGTTGGTCAACTTTTCCACGCTGGTCTGATGTATTGTAAGAGGTGGGAGAACCCACACTTTACCCCGCCGAACACGACCTGCGTGACCTGTGTGTTTAATATCCGGCTGCGGGATGAGCTGTGACAGCGCAGTGGGTGCGCAATTGTAAGGTCGCAAGTTCAAATGTCAGTCGAGGGTGAACGTAACCTATCGTCACTATCGCCATCATCATCACTTTGGGGGCCGATAAAATAAGTGCCACTGTGTGAGGAGTCCCCATGGGTGGTCCTATGGAGAGACTAGCTGGGAATGTGGAATTTCCACCAAATGACTTAGGGCCACCAAATTGAGTTAAGTCCTTGCCCATTGCTTATTCGAGTAAGGGACACACTTTTACTTTGAATTGAATGTTTTTTTACAAATGTTATTTTATGCAATTTGCAATCCTGTGATGAATTACTTGGCATTGTTTTGTTTGTATTGGTTGCTGCCTATGCATACACACACACACACATCGATGTTATTCCTATGACATGACAACTGTGATTAACCTTGTTTATCCCCATGTCCCACTTTGTGAGTGAGAGAGAGAGGTGCAATATCTCAATAAGTACCACTTTGGTCGAAACAGAGGATAATAATAATAAAGAGCTGACGAAAATGACACCCTGCCCAATTTCAATTGGCAAATTGCAGCCGAACTCTTAGCAAATGCACCGAGACCGCCACACGCTTGGGCAGTTCCAAAATAAACAAAGACGAACGAACGAACAAAAAATCACAACTCATGTTTTATTAAACGAGCAACTGCTGCCGTGAAGTTCTATCGTCGCTCAGCTACGAGGCTGCTTTGCTCCGCCACTTGTACACATCTCACGCCTCGGCGTTGCTTATTTACGCCCCAATTTAAAACCGTCCCGTAAATAATATCTCAAATGCCTCCCGGGGACGAATTATTATTTCCTTTCAAATGTGTTTTTGTTTGTGCGTGGTTTTTGTTTTGTTTTGCTTGAACAACGATGTCAAATAAAATTAAAATAAAATTCCCGGCGCGGTCCGTCACCGCGGTTCGCAATCCTCGTCCCTCAACCGACGGGGGGGGGGGGTGAATCGTCGACGCTCGAGCAATCTCCCTCTCGCCTCCCCCTCCCCCTCCCCCACCCCCACCCACCGCAGGCAGCGCAGGGACCCCCGTGATGTTCAATAAGGACGGCGATGCACCAGGACGCTATGACATTTTCCAATATCACTTGCACAACACAAGCACGCCGGGCTACAACGTGATCGGAGAGTGGGTCAACCACCTGCAGCTAAATGTGAGGCTTTGGCAAAATTCAGAAAGGCTCCCGCTTTCCCGTGTTGATGTTGTGTTGTTGTTGTTGCTTGCCTTTGCCATTTGGTTCACCTTTAAATATATCTGTGAGAAATGTTACGGATAAGATATGTGATTTCACCCCCCCCCCCCTCCTCCTGCCCCCACCACCATCCCCTCCTGCTTTCAGTAATTGTATATTGGTTAAATTAAAAGGCGATGTTTATTTTTTCATGAACAAGAGAGAGAGAGAGAGAAAGAAATGTCAATGTCAGACCTCTGCAGTTATTTTAACATCTTGCTCCTCGAAAGTGCAACAGTTCATTTGTGTAAACATTTGCAAACACAAGTAAATACCCTGCAGGGAATAGCAAGATGATATTTTGATGGACTGAGATTTAGCTGAATTTGTTCATACTCTTGGGTTTTTCCATCAAGTCACGTAAATAAAAAAATAATAGATCACGACGTTTTGATCACAACACAAGCAATCGCCTTCAGGTGAGAGAGAGAGAGCTGCTAAGATGTGTCCATCCTTTCTACCGATGTTAACTGACTCTCTGAGTTGCATTACTAGGTTGGATGTCTTTGTATTGACAGGCTGGGTGTGCACTGCCCCAGCCTCTGTGGTTGGACAATCTCTAGTTCGACCCACCTACCTTGATGTGCCCTTCTCAGGCCTATATAGCAGCTTTTTCGCTCTCTCTCACCTGAAGACGATTGCTTGTGTTACGATCGAAACGTCGTGATCTATTATTTTATTTACGTGACTTGACGGAAATAATTAATTCCTGCAGTCACGAAAGCTTTAACTCAAGACTGAATTTGTTCAGACGTGCACGGATGAATGGAAGAAAGACAGTGATTGATGGGTTTTGCAGAATGTGGGGAATTGTTTCTTCCTATTAATTCGGCACGTGGTGTGTTTGCCAAACAACAGGAGCCCGGTGCTGTGTGCCATTAGACGAGCATTCGCATGCGGTGTAAATACGGGCATTAAAGCCTCGCACTAATTCCATTGATTGACGCTATTTTAAGTCATGATTCAATTGAGGAATATGTTCTGCTTTATCTGCTTTTCACTCATCATATTTTTCTGATTTCTAATGTTGTTTTCTGCTTCGTTTTGCCCAGTTTTTTTCACTTCATTAGCCTAACCGTAACCTTACCATACAGCGATCCTCACATTAATTGACCTCCGATTTAAAGCTTTCTTGGCTGCAGGGATTCATCTTCTTGGTTCTTTCGATAAAGTCACGTAGAAGGGAAATAATAAAATAATAAAAATAAAACAGAATAAAATACAATTCTCACGACGTTTCGGCCACAACGCAAGCAGAGTTGTGGCCGAAACGTCGTGAGAATTGTATTTCATTATGTTTTTATTATTATTTTATATTTCCCTTCTACGTGACTTTACCGAAAGAACCAAGAAGATGAATTGACTTGTTTCAACGCGCGGCGCTTACGTAACCTCACGAACCATCGCGAGCTCATTTTCGTCGCTCCATCTCCGCGGCGGCCGCAGTCACGTTGCTCGTCCCGGCGTGGACGCCCCGGAACCTCACAGGCCCATGCCCGCGGCCGCTGCCCCTCCCGTGCTTTTAGATCAGCGCGCTGCAGTGGGCCGCCGGGAAGCGGGAGCTGCCTTACTCTATCTGCAGCATGCCGTGCGCGTCCGGCGAGCGCAAGAAGAAGGTGAAGGGCGTGCCGTGCTGCTGGAACTGCGAGCGCTGCGAGGGCTACTACTTCCAGCTCGACGAGTTCAACTGCCACCTGTGCCCCTACAACATGCGCCCCAACGTCAACCGCACGGGCTGCGACGCCATCCCCATCGTCAAGCTCGAGTGGCACTCGCCCTTCGCCGTCGTGCCGGTCTTCCTCGCCATCCTGGGCCTCCTCACCACGGCGTTCGTGATCGTCACCTTCGTGCGCTACAACGACACGCCCATCGTGCGCGCGTCTGGCCGCGAGCTCAGCTACGTGCTGCTCACGGGAATCTTCCTGTGCTACGCCACCACCTTCCTCATGATCGCCGAGCCCAGCCTCGCCGTCTGCTCCTTCCGCCGCATCTTCCTCGGCCTGGGCATGTGCGTCAGCTACGCGGCGCTGCTCACCAAGACCAACCGCATCTACCGCATCTTCGAGCAGGGCAAGCGGTCGGTGACGGCGCCGCGCCTCATCAGCCCCGCGTCGCAGCTCGTCATCACCTTTTCGCTCATCGCCATGCAGGTGCGATTGCGTTGAAAGCGTGCGTTGCTCACGATGCGTGGCGTGCTCGCTTCTGCTGGCGCAAAAAAAAAAACGCTTTTGATCGTAAAGAGCCACTTCGTGAAACTGGTCAGGTTGTTCAAGGGACGGCACATTAATGTGGCATTGCTGAGATCCTGAGCTGAAATCTGGGTTTCAGCCACCGGTGATTGAATCGTTTTCTCAAACGTATAACGAGGTTTTATCCGAGTCAATGATGATTGCAAAAACAATTTAGCCATTGCGTGAAATGTGTTTCTTCACACTTGATTTGCCTAAATGCCAGCTCTGGATATTAACAATTTTGATTTGATTGCCATGCAATGAACATTTCTGTATGTAGCAGGGCATGTGGTCATGCGTGCTCTCCAGTATAAGGATGTGTAGAGCCGTTTTGTCAACCCACCACTGGATGATGGGCATCCCACGCTATAACCGCATGGGGGTTATTTGATTACACTTCACCACATGGAGCGTAGAACATGAGAGCATAGAAGTACATCAGAACAATGGATGTTTATTCCACTGCCCCATGCTGCCCGCAACATATCTCCACAGTAAAGTCACGTAGAATTGAAATAATAAAATAATAAAAATAAAACATAATAAAATCATTCTCACGAGACAGAGTCTGAATGACTCTGTCTCCTCGACAGACCTGTTCTCCACCTGAGGACGGCTACTTGCGTTGTGGCCGAAACGTCGTGAGAATTATTTTATTATGTTTTATTTTTATTATTTTATTATTTCAATTCTACGTGACTTTACCGAAAGAACCAAGAAGATGAATCCCTGCAGTCACAAAAGCTTTAAATCGAAACATATATCTCCACAGCCCTATAACAACCTGTTGGTCACTCATCCAAGCTCAATCAATGGTCATCCCAGCCTCTGAAAACTGCGATCCACCTTTGATAAGTTCCCCGGATAAAAACTGTATACGTGTGCAGAAAAAAATTGGCCACGTGGGTCAGCGGTGGAGTGAGCGGCTTGCAATTGGATGGTTGCGAGTTCAAATCCTGGTAGGGGTATGAATGACTAGTCCCATCATCCCTTCTTTCCGGGGGTCGACAAAACTAGCCCCAGTCTGTGCTGAAGTCAACATTGGTTGTCCAATGGAGCGGCTCACACCCACCCATAGGAATGTGGAATTACCACTACTGGCTCCGCATGGCTGGTATACACAGGAGATGGGCACAAATCCCTCCTCAATGCTCAACTGGACAGGAAATCACTTTGACTTGTTGAGCGCAAAACAAGTGATAAATCACAATCGCCACGCTCGTCAAACTGCAGATTCAAATAAAAAAATTAACTATTTTTTTTATTTTACAAGATAAGGCCCACTGAGTTATGTGGCTCTTTTTCAGCAGTCACCTGGCCCCAAATGATAGCTCAACGAAGTGGCTCATCGCGTGGAAATTTAAAGCAGCCAAATGCTCTGACCGCGTGACGTTGATCCACACGACCACGGGGAGAGAGACAAGCAAGCTCCAAATAAACAGCAGGCGTCAGGGTTGAACCCACCACCTCCTGTATACCAGGCGAGACAGTTAACATCTCGCCACCACCTGCCCGTCCACCCCGCGATTTTGTCCCCAGCTCCTGGGAGTGTGCATCTGGTTCGGGCTCACGCCGCCACACACGGTCATCGACTACGAGGAGCAGCGCTCGCAGGAGGCCGAGCTGGCCCGCGGCATGCTCAAGTGCGACATCTCGGACCTGGCGCTCATCTGCTCGCTGGGCTACAGCATCCTGCTCATGGTGACATGCACCGTGTACGCCATCAAGACGCGCGGCGTGCCGGAGAACTTCAACGAGGCCAAGCCGATCGGCTTCACCATGTACACCACCTGCATCGTGTGGCTCGCCTTCATCCCCATCTTCTTCGGCACCGCGCAGTCCGCCGAGAAGGTACGCGAGTGTGTTTGTGGAGCGGCGGTGGTGGAAAAGGGGGTGGGGCGGTGGGAGGAGGTCGGTGGGGTCGGTGGGGGCGGTGGGGTAGGGGCTGTTGGGGGTAGGTGGTGGGGAGGACAGTGAAAGGGGCTGTTGGGAGTGAGTGGGGGGGGAGGTGGAAGGGGGTCGTGGGGGGGCGATGGAGGCGGTGGGAGGGCTGTGGGGGGGGCAGTGACGGGGCTGTTGGGGGTGGGTGGTGGGGGGGGAGGGGGAAGGGGGTCGTGGGAGGGCGATGGAGGCGGTGGGGGGGCTGTGGGGGGGGGGGCAGTGGCGACGGCTGTTGGGGTGGGTGGTGGGGGGTGGAAGGGAGGGGGTGGTGCTGGTTTTACTCAAGCGGTGTAGTGGAGCGACTGAAGGCGGTGTTGATTTAGTCAGCAATTCTATTGGCTTTAGTATCGTTGGTAAAACATAAAAACCTGTGGATTTTTTTGTCAAACGTTATTGTGCAAATTTCGCTTGGTCATTAAAATAGAAAATGCTGACTAAATTAGCACTGCATTTAAGAGATAAGACGAGCCTTTAAATGCTCACCGAATTAACACTGTGTCCAATGTTAATTAACACTGTTATGCGGTGTTAATTTAAGTGCCTGGCAACGGTCTATTTGACAAAATCCCGCGCAGTCTTAATCATGTTGACTTTAACGACTGAAGGGAATCCACAGAACCAAGACTTTTACCAAAATTCCACGTGTGGTCACCGACCAGACCAGAGACGAACAAGACCAACATGCTGACTCGGTGAACACTCGGCGCAGGGCGCAGGGGAGGGGGGGCAGGGGAGGGGGGGCAGGGGAGGGGGGGCAGGCGAGGGGGGGCAGCCAATTGCCTCTGCGATGGCTTCGGGTGGTGCGGGGGATTCCGGAGAAGGATTTGCACTAACAGGGCACTCGCCTAACTACGTACGCAACTCTATAAGCGTCTTACAGCGACATCTCATCTCAACATGTTTGGGGGAGGGGGGGGCTTTCCCCCAACATGCTTCCCTGGACAGATTTGGACATACTCTTAGGTTTTTTCGGTAAAGTCACGTAGGTAAAAAATAAAAATAAAATTAATAAAAGTAAAATAAAAAATAACGACGTTTCGGAGGCAACACAAGCTTTCCGTCTTCAGGTGGAACCGTCACAGCACGATTGCTGTATCAAGTATAGAGAAATTTGGACACTTCTGCTGTCCGGATATGGCACTGCCTCCCTGGACACATTGTCGGCGAAATCACCGAGTCTGGTTTTTCAGGCCTTCAAATGCCGAGCATCACGCACACACGGGACACCTCCTGACTTCACCGCACGCCTTGTAGGGACTGAGTCTTTGAGCTGCAGTGAAGCAATGATCATGCCGGTTCGATGTACTCGTGTCTGAAATGGCTCTTGTTCACAATTGTACCCAATGACAAAAAAAACATCCAATGCCCTGTCGCGGTTTTAGCAAAGGCGACCCCCCAGTGGCAGCTGTCCCCTCTGCGGCACTGGTCTCCAAATGGGCATTGTCTCTGTCGGTGTGGGCCGAGGGGTGCAGAGAGGTTGGGGCTGATGGGGGCGTGGGGGGGGGGAGAAGGCGCCGAGGTGATGTCACTGCTGCTAAGTAGGGAGCAACACTCAGTGGCGTCTGGGTGGAGGACGAGTTGACAACTGACTTGGACACGTGAACAATACGGGTTCGACTCCTTCCCTGGCTCAGGTTAATATTTATCTGTTTTATGAACCTCTTCAGCTGCAGTGTTATTCGACTACATTGACGATTACCCCCTCGTACGTGTAAACAAAACATACTCATCACGTGTGCTATGAAGAAGGACCATTGCCCGAAACGTTGCCAATTTTATATTTGTCATTTTAAGCACCACAAATTAAAATACATTGTGTGTATTCGCTCTACGTAATCTGCTTTCCTCCCACAAGAAGAAAAAAAACGCTCCTTAAAAAAATAATCGCTTAAACGTCCAAGCGCAGGACCCACCTGGAGTAGAATCCTGAGGCTCGGCATTGTCCTCCTGGATAAACAATCTTGGGGCGCATTACCCCGTGACGCGTGCGTGATCGTTGTCAAGTAACAACGCCCGCACGACCAAGACGTGTGTACGTCCTGGGATTCTCGCCTTGAGGAGCTGCTCCGGTTTATCCCGAAAAAATGTGACTTCGTGAAAGGGCTGAGCAAAGCCAAGTCTGATTGCCGTGAACTTAACAGCAACAACAAAACCCACGAAAATTAATTGTCACCTTTCATCGCGTGATGTTTGTGTGTCAATGCGTTCGCTTCTCGAGCTTGAACAAAGGACTTGGCTGATTGATTGAGGATAATCAGTGGCATGTGTAATCAAGGGTTTAAGGCCTATCCAGGCTAATTACTGTTTTATGAAGTGATGGGAGCTGGGGGTAGTAGCTGCGACGCACTCGGCTCTGTTTTGAGGACAAATCTCTTCCTGTCAGGGTAGCTAATTAGCTAATTGTTATTCGGCACGATAAACAGAGAGACACAGAAGCCAGAGTACTGATTTTGAAATTCAGAATCGGTTCAGAATTGTTTTTTTTTGTTCTTCTGGAAAAATCCGATTTTCTATGAAGCTCTTTATTTTCCCAGACGACCATTTCGCTCACTTCCCCATCGCCATTCTCATCACCATCAGCCATGGATAATCCGCTGCTGGAAGCAGGCCACGCCAAGATGCCCTCCACCTCATGCTACGAGCTGATTTCATCGCTCCATCTCCTTGGTGGATGCCCTCTCAGGCGCTTTCCGTTCATTTTCCTCGACGCCCCAATATAATCGGTTTAAAAAACAAAAGAGAGAGACGGATGACAAAAAACATCCACTGCAACTCACCGGCGTGGTTGTGACCGTCGCTACTGCAGGAGTAGCCTTAAGCAATTATCGACATTATAATTGGTGTAAAAACTGCGTGTTAACCAGAACCACCCACCCCCTCCTCCCGCCAACGGCTGTGACATTCAGTGAACTTTCCAGGTTCGGGATCACGATCCGATTCAAGGATCGATTCTTGTGGTTCCTTCCTATTACTGCCTCATTGTGCCTTGATCGTTCTTGGTTGCAAAATCTCCTTTGCTCCCTTTTCTCCACGAGCTGAAATGTTTTGTCTGCTTCTACTTTGTTACATGTTTAGTAATGGCCCAATAGACTTTCAATATAGTGGCTGTCGGTTCATTACGCCAGTGCAGCAGTTAAAACAATGGTGCAACTTTCTTTTCACTAAAACAGTACTTTTTATTTTACCAGGTAAGGCTCACTGAGCTATTATAGCTCTCTTTCCAAAGCGACCTGGTCACAAATGATAGCTTAATGAAGTGGCTTATCAGGTATAGATTTATCGCAGCCTAAATACAATAAACACATGTTTCTAAATGCGGAGGGAAAAACTGGAGGACCCGGAGAAAAAACCCCTGACCTCGGGGAGAACATGCAGACTCCAAATGTGCAACAGGCATCAGGGTCGAGATCGAACCCACGACTTCCTGCACACCAGGTGAGGGAGTTAACATCTCGCCACCGCGGCGCCCCATTCGCCACCTTCCCCCCGCCTCTCTCCACTCAACGCGATAGCGAGGTAAACCAATCTGCAGGTCGCGTTGGGTGGGGTAAAGTGTGAGTTCTGCCAACCTCTTCCAAGACATCTGATGAGCTGTGGATGCGTAAGCCAAACGCCCTCTGGAGAGGAGTCCTCTAGAGCTCCCTATAGGGGAGGCCCTCCCACCAGCAGTGCAGTGAGCGAGAGATTGCAGGGCTGCACCTTTATCGTTTACCTTTACCATCAACGCTTGAACTGCGCGATTTGGACGTATGTGCGCTAATCGGAGGTGCCGGGGGGGAAGGACAACCAACTTAAAACAACAAATGAGTTTTCAATCTAGATTTAAAAGTGCACCGCTCCAGAGGATTCCTAACATCGGAAGAGGAAGAGCGCTCCGGACGGCCGCAGAAGCGCATCTGAAAGCGCCGCGCGATGCGGTGACCGCCTATTGTTCGATGGCGAGCCACAAGCCGGAGCCGTTGCGAGGGCGATTTGACGCGCGTGTCGTGAGCGCGTGAATCCATTTGTAGGCGGCAGGATCGTTACAAGCCGAGTTAAAAGCGCGCGCGAGCGCCGTAATGGGAGGGTCTCGAGTGGGTTCGCATCTCCATCACGTGGCCAATCAAGCATCCACAACCGGTCCCCTGCTGAGCGTCACGTGGGCGAGGTTGCTGCTAATTGTTCATTGGCGTTGTGCGATTTCCTCTTGAGGAATGGGCCAACGCCGCTGCCAACGCTTCCGCGAGCACAAAATGTAAAAGGTCGCAGCCCTGCAATTGCTGCCTCGCACCACTGCTGTCAGAAGAGGCTTGCACTAGAAGGAGCTTCAAGAGGGCCCCTACAAGAGGTTCTTTGGCCTACTCTTCCACAATGGTCACATTTCTTGGAAGAGGCGGGGGGGGGGTACCCATATTGTTCCCCACCACATGTAACCTGCCGATTTACTCACGTCGATTAACCCAATACACTGCTTGCTGGGTGGACAGCGGCTGAGATGAGTTTACGAAACGCTCGCCGTTGTTTTGACTGCCACGCCAGGAGATTTAACCTGCAAGTCCATTGAGTGTGCACTGCCCGTTACACCAACGGCGGCAAGCCGTCTTGATTTGCTCCCACTCACCCTGTGATTGCGTATTTTTGTTCTATCATTGATCTATTTTTGAGGAGGGCAGTAGCCTACTGGGTGCATCGCTGTCAACGGCCGACATTAGTGACCTACTCCGTTTAGCCAAATGGCAAAATGCGGTTTGATTTTTTTCACGAATGCGCGTTTAGGGAGAAAAAAGAGAGATTAAAGAACGTGTTCAATAAATGAATACGTGCAATGAAAGTAATTAGTTAATCTGTTGTACAAAGAACAATTTAAAATAGTTCGGAAAAGTAGGCGTGCTTGAGCCGCATGGCCATAGAAATGACATTGACAGATGGTC